GACATTGGAAACAACTTAAATGCTACTAATGGAATCAATTCAATAGTATAGACAATATAAATGAATTATAATTTACCTATAAAAATGCAGATTACTATTACAAACAATTTTGAAAGGAAAAAGCAAGCTATAATGTTAACCTAAATGATAATAAATTTTCATGAAATTCAAAGGTAATGTTTATGATAATATTAACTACAACTCATAAGCATTACTCTCTGTCTGACACTTGTAAGTTTTACACATAAATATACACACATCTACATGAATGCACAAACTCAATTAAATTTAGATCCTTTTGATTTCCTAGGAAAAGTATGTAATGCTATAATAAATATTTAAACCACTTATAGCAGAATTATACACCGGTTATGTTACAAAACTATAGGTGAGACTAAGTTAAGTAGGGGTTGGGTATTTCTCTCTAGAAGTCCGTTCTTGCTAACAGGGTCATACATTTTGGGATTCATGTATTTGTTATTATACATAGGTATTATTATATATGTAATCATGAAAAGTATGTTGTCTTAAAAACTGGTTTTAGTTATTGGATTTCTTTAAAATGGCAACCAAAATCTGGCTAAGGTTTGAAAACCCTCTGTGGTCAATGAAGTGGACTGATAGACCCACAGATCTTTCAAAAAGAGTGTGCATAAAGCTGCATCTGGGGAAGAATTCACAAAGAATGTCTTGTAGCAATATGTACTTGAGTGCAGTCAGCAGTGGTATGCATTTGCTGATTGTCCACACGAGGTGAAGTATAGGATTACTTTTTTGAGTTAGTGGCTTCTATTCAACCAGCTGATATTTCTGGCTCAATCTTCCTTACAAGCTTTGAACTTGGAATTTACATAATTAAGAAGCAATTTTATCTAATAGACATTCTTTGTTGAATTTTGGTGTTTGAGGCTACATTTGTTTCTTATGATTTGGCCTACAAGAAAGTCCTGAATTACTATTTGTCCTATGATATTATTTGAAGGGTAAATGTTCCTTTATATGCTGAAATACTCCTAAACAGTTATAATGTCAGAATAAAATGTTTTAAAGTAGGTAGACTTCTGAAAATGAAAATCATTACTACATTTTTCCTAAAACAACATGGCTTGGGACCTACTGCAGATTGTATTTCTTAAGGTAAACATTATTTCTATAGATCTTATAAAGTAACTTTGAGTTATTACTCCCCTAGGAGGGTGTGGCAGTTGTATATGGTCTAGAAGCTCTAATAAATGTTCATATTGAAATGTATCCAGTCATTAAAGTAGAATTTACACTATTAATCTGAGAAGTTAATACAGTTCATAAATAAGCTCTGAGTTATTAATGGATGCTTATTTATTTTCCTCAAGCAAGACTTGCAGTTTTATTCCTGAATATTTGTTTATGCTTTTTACCTCAATCCACCCTTCCTAACCTGTCTCCCTTATGCATTAACATACATGGCTACACATATGTACATTAAAGCAATTATTGTTGAGGAATCTTTAATTATTTAGTTGTTTGTTTGTTTGTTTTGGAATTGCCCTATCTACCTGCCTAGCTTATGTTGATTTTTAAATCTGCCATTGTCCCATACTTAGCATATGCAGCCATGAAAGAGTGAAAATACACCCACTTTCAATTGCAACTTACTGTTCCCCTGCTTTCAGGACAATACTTGACCACATTCTTCAGAGCTGGCAATCAGAATCCAGTTTGAATTTTGACAGAATTACCTAAGAAAGCATCTAAAATTGTAGATACCACTTTATAGATTAATAGTAATTGGTATTAATATTGGTTACAAACGGAAGAGTTTGAGACTTTCCTTGCTGACTATTGGCAGAAGACGCAAGAAAATAACAGAGAATCATTTATTATTCAAAGAAGGAGTCCCTGAACCTCGACTCTCACGGAACGTTGTGATAAGACCCACTCACCAGCCACATGAAGAGCAGTTTGTGTTACAGAAATGAAACTGGGGTGTAGTGAGACTGGCATGCTTTCTCCCTTTTCTATTTCTTAACAACAGAGAAAGGGATTTGCTTTAGCAGGATGCACTGCCTCCATCTCCCAGAATGACTCACACTTGAGAAATGACAGTGGATGAAGGTGGTTGGTTAGTGCCGTCATCTCAGTGTTCAACATTACAGTTTAGTGCCTAAAAACTTCTGAATTGCACCTGGAAAGTCCTAAGTCATCGGGCTTCACTTACCCATGCAAAAATATAATTGACACCACTAAGAGGGGAATAAAAATAGTATATCTAGAGCCAAATGTGTATGATCATAGCCTGGGAATTCAGAATCTGCTTACTCCACATTCTATAGTTCAATGTCTGATGGGTTCATGAACTTTTTATACTGACTGAATAAGAAAGTCATAAATCAAGACACTTCAAATAGAGTGTTGTGAATGCCAAATGGGTCACAACAGATGGGATTCTTTGTTCATAGGTCTCATCCTATGAGGCAATATTCTTAGCCTTTTGCTTAGTGGAAGCTGATGGTATACTTGTGCATTCTAAAGGATTTATCTAATAAACACAAGGATGTTAGGTCAGAGAGATGGGCAAGTAATGGCTATTCCTTACTTTATCTTGACTAAAGATAGCCCATGATAAATTATATTTAGGCTCTGGGCCTGAAACATTCTTCAAATTAAATGGAATTTTAATAAGCCTATCAGCCTTGTGGAGAAGGTTCCATGTAAGGTACCTCAGTCAGTGTTCTGTTGCAGTGAAAAGACAGTACAACTATGACAACTCTTATAAAAGAATGTATTTAATTGGTGGCTTACTTACAGTGTTAGACGATCAATGCATTATTCTCATGGCAGAGAGCATGGCAGCAATCATGGTGCTGGAGCAGTCACTGGAAGCTGTATCCTATATCCAGAAAGAAACAAAGTGAGCTTGGCAAGGACTTCTGAAACCTAAAAGCGCACCCCCAGTTACACACTTACTCCAGCATGGCCACACCCACTCCAAAGCCACACCTTCCAATCCTTCTAATCCTTTTAAATAATGCCACATTCTGATGACTAAGCACCAAATATATGAGCCTATGTGGGCCATTCCTATTCAAACCACTACATTTAGCCAGCTCCTTGATTTTTATAATTCAGCTGTAATCAAACCAGAGGTAGCTTTATTTAGGGTAATTTTTTTTATGATTTTGACCTCTTCTGTTTATTTAAATTATTTCTTATGATTATAAGCACAGCATTTCCCCTTTCCCCTTCTTCCCTCTAAATGCTCCATATTCTCCTCATTGCTCTCTTTTGAATTCATGGCCTCTTTTTTCATTAGTTGTTGTGTTATATATATAAAATCAAGGATGGAAATATGTATTTTTTTAAAGGAAGTTCTAAGTTGTCTGGGTGGTGTGGTTAGAAGAAAAAGGAGAGACAAGCAGACAGTGGAGAGAGATAGCAAGCAATGGTAATCCCTCCAGTAGCTGTAGAAAAGAAGGATGTTTTGAATACTCCTTTTTCTGACTGATAGTATTGTCTATATTTCATGTTTCTGTTCTTATATTTGCCTGCTGCCTATTCTATTACAAAGAAAGAAACTAACATATTTTCATCATTTCCTTTGTTTCCTCCCTCTCTTCTGTCCCTTCACCCTATCCTCCATTTAGCATCTCATTAAAGTATATATATATATTATAATTACCAATAGGTTAATATTTTGTGTTTCTTTCTTAGAGTTTTTCTTTCATTGTCTAAAGTATATATATATATATCATAATTAACAGTGAGTAGGTTAATATTTTGTGTTTCTTAGAGTTTTTCTTTCATTGTTCTCATCAATAATATTCTAATTTGTAACTTTTTATAAAAAAACTGATATTATCTCTGGGTTTTAAAAAGATGGTCAAGTGTTGAGAAAGATGGTCAGCCAAAAACTTACCTATCAAGCCTGTTTTTGTATTCAAGCAAAAGGTGGGTTTTGCACAGTGGTGAGTGCTTTTAATCCCAGTACTAAGAAGGCAGAGACAACCAGGTCCCCAGTGTTTGCTGGTTTGCCCCAGAACTCACTTGTGAGTCAGGTTAACCAGATTGGTGGGCTCTCCAGTTTCAGCAGGAGACCTGGTCTCAAAAAATAAGGGTGATTGCTATTAAGGAAGATGCCTGCCATCAGAATCTGATCCCCAGGTTCATGGGTGTGCACATGAACTCTTGCCTGCTGTGCAGCAGCCTTGGGTTCAATTTCTAGAACTGCATTTAAACGAAAAATACTAAGCTACTTACTTATAGGTTAATTGTACACTTTAATAATATTATTGGTAATTGTAACCTGTTTATTTTCATTGACACTTAGATAAAATACAGTCTGTTTGTTGTAATGTGATGCCATGCTGTTTGTTGGCACTTATAAAATTATACCCTTACCTGCTGATTCTCACTAATGCCACATGAGAGGCATTTCTTGATTGGTATAAAACTTAGAAATAAGAAATTAATTAACTAATTACATATCCATTGAGATCTTTTCATTAGCATGTTATTGGCTTTGATCAACAGTCGCAGGATCTGGCTTTGAGACCTCAAATATTTATACAGTTATCTTTATGAGACACTCTTCTATATGAAAACCCACTCTTCTATATGACCATTACATGGGGCGTTCATCCCTTTTCTATCATTTCTTCAACTGCTTCCCTTAAAGTTGAAATGCTTACAAAAGAGAAAATATGGAAGGCTCTTAGGGAGTTAAAGACTCTCTTTATATGATAGCCGATTCGATTTGTGTATTAAATGCCTTTTTATTTTTAGTTTCCATCTCTTCCCTTTTAGGTAATTCCATTTACATGCAGGTGCTTTAAGCCTAGCAGGATATTTATAGATACATATTTTACAAGGGTTTATGTGTATGTATTATATGACTGCTACTCATTTAAGACCTAATTTATCTGCAAACTATTAACTCATGGTTGGAACTTGTGTTTGATTTTAGATAATTTTCTTGTGGATCACTGGTTAATTAATCATTTTTCAAAATTTATTTGTATTAGCAAGCGTTAAATGAAAACATCAAAAAAAGAGAAGCGGCAGAAAAGGACAAACGTGCCAGACTAGCTAAAGAGCGAGCAGAGAAAGAACGCCTCGAACGCCAACTAGAGAAAAAACGTTTGCTAGAAATGAAAACTGGTGAGTCCTGTCCAGCCCCGTCCATGCGGTGGACACATTCATGTGGTGCCTCATCGAACAAAGAAATAGGACCCCCTGTTTCTGTACCTCACCATCGAGCAGATCTTTCCTTAGGCTCCTTCCTCCCTTCAGTTTCTCACTGTATGTTGTCTTTCTTCTGGTGTTGGCTCTCTGGAAGACTTGTGGGTCAGGTAGATTCTCTTTCCTTCAGTATTACTTGGATAACAAGTCTGTAACAGTGCCTGTCTGTTAATACATTTACATCCATACGAAATTGACACATGGACTGATTTCTTCCAGTGAATGCAGCATAGGCAAGAGAAAAAGAGGATACTGATTAAGAGAGACTTCAAGTAGGCTGGGGCTGTCACTCTTGCTGGTGTACATGAGCTTGAGACTAAGTTCAGTACTTAAAACTGAAAAGAGGAGACGAAAGGAAGGACTAAGGGGGAGGCGAGGTTGGTAGAGAGGACAAAAGAGACACAGAGCCTGGAGTGGCAGCTATGAAAACCCTACAAATTTATAACCCCTACAAATAACTATAACAAAAAGAAAATCTATGGAGACTTGATTTTTCTATGCATGACAATATTGTTGTCAGCATACTTCTGTATTCTTCTGAGCCTGCTGAAACTTCACAGACAAAAAAAAAAAAAAAACAATGTCTTCAGGTAAGTTAAAATAGTCTGGGGTAACAGATGGAGGGCTCTATAGACTAAGCAGGGTAGTTTCTGAAGCTGGGACAAACTACTGGGGGAAGATGTGTGCCAAGTGTGCTGTTTTCTCTACTTACTTTTTGGTATGCTTTCTAACGTAATGGAAACTTTTTGAAAAACTTGACAAATTTGAATACAACCCTACAGAAACATCTATCTATTTTATAAAGTTAAAAGAGTCATTTTCTGATTTGTTTGTTCCTTATTTGCCTTATTTTATTTTATTATTATTAGATGCCGCTTAGTTTTATAATCAGAGAGTTACAGATCTAGATGGGGGATGAGAGGGGAGCTAAAGAGGAGAGGGGAAATCATATTCAGAATATATTATATTAAAAATATATAAAAACCTCTATTTTTAATAAAAGAAAAAAGGAAGGCACAACTAAATAGGAAAGCAGCATATTAGGTTGTAGTTTTATTGTCAACCTTAACCATTTTACTTTGGTTTCCCACGGCACTAAGGATGGTTTTAATATAAAATCCATTAACTTCATTGCTAAATCCTAGTAGCTCACAATTCAGGAGAAGCAATGCAGCTAAGGATTCCCCGCAGGGAGAGGGTGCCACCCTATCCTCTTTACTTGCACTTTGATAGTCATATTTTATTTTTGGAAGCAAAATGAATATAGTAGTGTAGCACATTTGTTTCTTCTAGAAAGGAAGAGTCATCTAAGTCTAATTACATGTTTATGTTAGAAATTCAGAAAAGTTCAGGAAATTATTGAAAGTGTTACCAAAAATGATTAGCAGAAAAGTGGACTATTAACTGTTAAAATTATTCTGGAATAATCATGAATTAAAATCTTAGCTTAATTTTTGGTACATCATTATATTGTTTGAACATTTGCTCTCCGTGTTAAAAGTCATCCACCTGATAATCGAAGGTAGATGGACTATATATACTGTTGAGATTTGGACTGAGCGACTGGGACATAACAGTGTTGCTGTTATGTCAGTTCATAAAACTGACATCTGATAGAACTTTTTAATGGGCTTTTCAACAGAATATAAATAATATTTATTTTTATTTCTCTACAATTTAATTTCTATTTTTGAATGATCAAATTTATTTTTTTTTTACCTTCAATGACTTACTTCTGCAGTATAAAATCCACCTAAACAAGAGTAGATCAGAAGGCAGTTAGCCATTATTTCTTTCAGGGATTCACTGTTCATATTTAGGCACACTGTCTCTTCAGTACCTTTGAATACAAACCAGGATCCTAGTGAATATGCACCTGAATGTCCACATTATCTTACTAAATACTTAGTATTTCATGTTATTCTTAATACCTTGCTATGGGTTCCCCTCGTTAGGTCATACCTAATTTGGCTTATATTATTCAGTAAGGGAGTAATAGAAATGCTTCTCTAGCTCTTCAATATGAACAGTATACTTGGCCTCACACAGTCAGAAAATGTTTGAATTATTTTATTAAACAGAACAGAGAAGGATGTATTTAAGACTTAAAATGCATGTTGCCAAATATATTTTAATTTTCCCTAACATTCAACGTCTAATTATGAGTATGCATTAGTTGAAAGTTCTCATTTTTATGAGATAGACTAAAAAGTTATTTTTAATTTTCATTGGCTTTTGCTTGACTACAGTGAAGATGGTCATTTATACTTATAGTTAATTAATATTTCCTATTTTACAAATTGTATTGCCTTAACCTTTTTCTTTTGGTTTACATATTAACCAGTTGTAAACAACTAAGTTGACTCGTAAATATCTTAAAATTGTTCTCCTTTATATATTTTGGCATGTGTGCTTTTGCATGCATGTGTGTGGGTGTGTGAAATTTTCTGTTCTGTTGTCTTACAATCTTTTGCCTTAATTTCTTTCTATATTACCTATATAATGATACCCTATCTCAAAAATTAGAAAATAAAAATAAAGGTCTCCCTTGCCTCTCTTGTTTATCATGGAGCCCATTATTTTTCTCCCATTAGGTTATTTTTATCAATTGTTCTGCAGTGTCTTTTCCAAGATACCATGTGCAGATGATGACAAATGTGTCTCAATAAGTGCAATGTCTTCGCCTGGTAGGATTTCTTAAACGCCTTGGATATATTAAGGTCATATGTAGTGCTCATTTCGGTACTTAGGGGATCTCCATGTTCTTCTGAGCCTAGGCTGGGTTATATCGATTTATAAAAATCTCATTAAACCAGACACAATCTCATAATGCCACATCAGGGCTTTTCCCTTTCCTTTATTTCTCTTGTTTTATTTTATTTTTTACTATGTACACACACACACACACACACACACACACACACACTTTTTTCTTTCCCTCTCTTTTTTTCCCTACAGGACCTGGACGTATGTATTATGGCTTCTAGCTTAGTGCTTTCATGAGATTCCTGAGTATGGGAACAATTGGTCCCTGCATCTACACCTGTGTCTTGCACCTTTTCTTGGGCTCTTTTCCTTCTGTTGCTTCTTTTATCCTATTTTCACATAGTAGCTTTTTTTTTTCTTATATTTTGCTATCATTCCTTAGGAGCTCATTTGTTTTCTAATGAAAAACAGGAAGCGGGTGAATCTGGTGTGTGAGGGGGGACTGGGAAAAATAGAGGGAGGGGAAACCATAACCAGGATATATTGTATTTAAACAAATATCCAAATATAAAAATATCAATAGATAAAAGATACATAAAATAGAAAGCTATGATGTTAGAAACTACCTTTGAAGACCTTTGGAGATTTGGGAGATAAATTCTAGACATTTGTTTTGGTTTAAAGAGTGTAGGGACATAAACCAATCTAGAGAGCATGTAAAAGTTGTCTCACCAAAGTTAACAAAAGCAATAAATGACAGTTATTCTGAATATTTCTCTTTGTAAAGACATGATTGTTCGTTCAGATCATCAGGCTTTGAAAATGGCCACCATTAGGAAATAAATCATATAGTAATAAAGAGTATTTATTTCTTGTTTGCTGCTTATTTCTAAATGAATCAAACACAGTTACCTTTTCTAATATCTGTAGAATAAGAATTTTCTGAAATCATTATTTTTACAACTTTTGAAGGCTTATGGAAATAGAAGTCTAGCCTAGCAGCATTTGATTTCATTCTTAGTGAAAATACATTGGGTATGTACCATGTTTTTCATGGTGACAAGTCTGAGCTCCAGTGTTGATTAGCAAACTATGCTGTGCTTTTCTCTTATTGATCTACTAATATAGATATTAGGAACTGATATTGACAGAATTTGGTTTTATATAACAAGGCAAGTATTACCCCAGCAGTTGACACTATGGTGTGTTTCCTCTGATACTTCACCGTATGGCTTGTGGACTTCTCACTTTTAAGCATCTTCTGATGGCCAGCTCAAAATTTATATTAAATTTTTATTTACAGGTATGGCTATGGTGTAGAATATACTACTTTGCAAACCACTATAGTTGCCTTTAGCCTGGCTGTGCTGGTATAAAAATAGTGTGAAAATGTGAATTACTGGATTTATATTAGTATTTGTTACTGCTTTGGAAGAGGGACTTTATTTCATCTTATTTTTGTGTGTAAGACACCACTCCTAAGGTGACTGAGCAAGAGAATACTCCTGTAACTCTGTCATAAACCCACGTGGGCCTTCTTCCCATAGTTTTTCCTGAGGTTAGTATTTCCACCAGGTAAAAAGAACTTAGTTTCTTCACAGATATGCAAATCCTCTCATCACGGAGATGGTGGAGTAATTAAATCCTGTTTTTTCTTACCTACCATCCATGATGACTGCCGTTGGAGGGAGAATGGCAGCTGGGTTCAGATCTACTTGCGCTCATTCTCCCTGTCCTTCCAGAATGGGGCTTTGTTCATAGGATGAATGTGAACCTGTGCACTAGAGCTCTGCCAGCACGAAACTGCATGTTGAAAACCCCGTGGACTAGTCAGTCTGAAAACGAGAGTCTAGGGTCTTTCTTCAGCATTTCCCATGTTAAAAGTCATATTCCCGTTTCTTTTTTAAGAGTAAAGAGCCGGAGCTTTCAGATAGTCACATAGGAAGGTTTTGTGTTTTCTGCCAAATATTTGCATATTCTTGTAAACAAAAGAACAAATGAACTTTAAACTGTCTTTACTTAATCCCCATGTGAATTTAGAATAATGTGTAAATTTGAATTTTATTTAATTTTGAAAACACTTAAATACAAAACATCTATATAATGTATTTAACATGGATGTCCGGATTTAGCTTCAAGTACACAGCTAGTATGTGCACTTATGTAATCATTTCTAGGAAGACACAAATAGGAATAATGGATTTATGTAATTA